TGAGTAGAAAATGAAGGCTAATCATGTTTTGGGGGTACTACTCCTTTAAGTATGAAATTATCACATACTTTTCAATAAATGATAAGTGTTTTTAATAAAGAGTAATTTCATTTAAATTCTCTTTACCGGAGACATCCATGTTTGTCAAAGAACACTACGGCCACCTACCGGTTTATGATGTCATGGTGCGGTATCGGCTGTTAAGCAAGTCCCAGTGCAGCGCTGGTGTTTGTCACAATGCGCTATTATCCATGATGGCGACGACCATCGCAGATCAGAAGCAGAGAATAACGGATTAATTATATATTTTTTGTCTGGCCAGAAGTTCGATGGCAACTCCTCCCTCTTAAAGGTGTCAATCTAACAACGAACCCGTGGAGGATCATGAATCAGAAAGGTGAAATAACCATTTTTTCCCCCCACTTTTACCCAATGTATTACAACATCCAACTGCCATGCACATGGGCAATGTCAGTTTAACTATAGCTCTCGTGAATGTCAATGGTGAAGTCCTCCCCTGAAATCTTAAATAATTGTGGTTGATTGCAGATGTGTCTAGTAGTTCCCATTGATTTTTCTTGTAACGCGGGGAGAATGACCTTTGGCTTACCGCACCGTAACGTCACTGCCGGAAGATGTCATTATATTTGGGCAAAAATGGGCATTCCAGGAGTCAATGATCAGAAAGAATTTTTTTTTTCTTTTTTTTTTTACTGATTAACGTTAAATAAATTAAATCACTGTGAATGTATTAGTTTTAGGTATAGATAATTACTCACTGGTTATTCCTCGCTGACCTGACTTTTCCTTTAAGGGTGAAAATACTCATTTCATTGGCAGATCATCTTTTTTACCTACTCAAATTAAGGGTAATTACACTTTAAAATATTTTTACTCATATCTAGACCGTTTTTGCAGTGCAGTGTGACTAATTGTCAGGATTTGTTTGTGGATTGTTGACCCAAAGCAGAGGCAGGAAGGCAGAGGTGAATTGTAAATAGATTTAATGATGAGTAACTGAAAAACAAAGTCCAAATGAACAGGCAACCAAGAATCCAAAATCCAAAATGAAAACAAAGTCCAAAAAACAAACATGAAACCAGGAGTCCAAAAATCAAAAATTCAAAACATGAAAAAAATAAGAAGAAAACAAACCAGAAAACCACGGAGACATCAGGGAATCAAACTCAATGAGGAAGGCTCAGAGAGACAAAGTGGAGGAAGACTGAAGAGGTTTGACGAGGACCCAGCAAAGAGGAACTGAAGAGAGAGGGCTTTTAAAGGAGACCGAGACAAAGAGAGGACTAATGAGGAAACTGGGAGCAGGTGTGCACAGAGCAAGAGAGGAAAAGAACTAGGGAAAAAAGGAGAACATAAGAGGGCAGCAGAGGGCAACAAATAGAAAGCTGGAAGACTGGAAATAACCAGAAAAACACAACTAAATAAGAATTAAACCCTTTAATCAAATAAACCCTTTAAGCAAAAATGGATACTCAAAGAAAACAAAACAGAACCAAGACTGAAACAGTATCTAAGAATTAATCAGAGAACACAAGAAAAATAAAAATTAAACCACTAAAAACTAGAAAACAAGGAGTAAAGCAAAAAACTGTACACCCAAAGAAAACATAACAGAACCAAGACTAAGACAGTAACTGAGAAAAAAACCAAAGAACACAATATACTAAGAATTAACCCACTAAACCTAGAAAACAAGGTGCAAAGCAAAACTAGATACTCAAAAGAATATCTTTACATTCAAACTTCAACCAAAAAAAATACTGAATTTATTTCACTTTCCTTGCACTCAGGCTATGCACAATTTGGGGTTATGTGTTCTTCTTCCCTTGCAGGTATTTTCTTCCACTGAAATCCTTGCCCTCCCTCACACTTGCTAAATATGACAATATGACTCCAAACTTCCTTTTAACAGAATATATATATATATGTCATGATCTCAGCTAGGTCTGAGACAATTAATCGGATTAATTGTGATTAATCAATTATTGAAATAATCATCAACTAATTCAGTGGAGTGTAGAGACTGTAAAACACGCCTTTAGCTGACAGAGCAACCCATTTAGACCAGTAATTATACCAAGATTGTAAAAAAATATATATATAAATATTGTGCATTTAAAAAATTTTTTTCATCTGAAAGTATACTCTCATCAGAATTCCTCAGGTGAAAAAGTTTGAGTTTCATCTGGTTTAATTTCATAAAGTAAAATCTTTCGCTATCCAATTATTAATGGATTAATCGAAAAAAAGATTTAACAGATTAATCGATTTACAAAATGATCGTCTGATCTACCTGAACCTATCTGCATATAACCAGCCTTCAGACCAAACATCAGTGCCAGATTATTTCAAGCCATTGGTGAGATCTATTCCAGCATTCTTATTCCCGACTTCCTGCCTGTTTGCTCGACCTGACCTGTCCCTATTTCTGAGCCTGCCTCATCCCTGTCTGACTTGACTGCCTGCCTGTTCTGTCTGACCCTGATCTATTTGGGTGCCTGCCCATTGCCTAACCTGCAACTGTTTCGCGACGTCGTCCTGGATTGCCCTCTGGTGCTTCATTGGACTTCTCGTCACCTGGCTCTGACCCTGGCCTTCACGCCTGACTATGGATTCTGGTTTTTTCCTTTTGTACCTCCTGCCTGCTATTGTCTTTACGGTTCTGACCTTCTGCCTGATCATGGATTATTGTAACTCGGCTGGAGTTAATCTCAGGGACTTGCTGACCTGTGACAGCAACATCAGCGCTACTGTCAACCGGCTCAAACCTAACCTCATGGTTCTTTCCACACTGAGGACTAAGAGAAGGTTAGTGACCATTATGTTTGTGATTGATGCACATCTTAAAGCTAACCTGGTTACTAATAATCTGTCTCTGTTTCCAGAGGTTCCTGCCCTAGTCGCTGACACTACCTGCAGCGGTTTTGTTTTAAAAAACTCTGTTAAACTTTCACACTGGTTGTCTGGTTTGAATTCTGGATCAGTCTGTTCTGATCATTACAGAATAAACTGAGCCAACATGGACTCATCACCACACAATCAGTTGTGAGCAGGTGTAGAACAATCCATTTAACAACTTGAAACTGACATCCATGTATTCTTATCCCACTTACATGGCCAGGCTTTACCCATTAAGCCACTTCCACATATGTTCGCCTCTGTCAGCACGCCACTTCATGTTGCTCAGGCTAGTCAAGAGCCACACCTGTCACTGTCTGAATCATTTACATGCTAACCCGATCAATGCAGGGCTTTACTCACTCAGTGTGAAATTGACTTTGAGTCACAGCCTCCGTGTTATCCCTCTGAACGCTGTAAGATCGCCTATGGGATGTCCCTATTAGCTTCCGAGTGCCAGAGCAACTCTAGCATCTGTCACTCTTACCAGGCTTTCTCTCAGGAACTAGTGCGTATGTTCAGCCCTGTTTTACCTTGTTGTGTTGTCCATCAAACAGGGGAACAATGAGTGGTAGAATACATCATAGACTATCATCTCTTATCATCTGACAGTTGACGGAACAAAGACACCTTGATGGATGTTTTCATCATAGGACTGAATAAGAGGATAAAGGATGAGTTGACTTTCTAAAGACTTCAAAGCAGCTAGAGGACCTGGCCACAAGGATCGACCTCCGGCTCATGGAACGTTGCAGAGAATTGAGGCGGATGA